CATTGCTGTGTTCTGGTGAGCAGCCATAGGGACTTGTGACAGCCAGTCTGGTCAGAAGCAAAATAAAATTGTGCACAAGAGAAAATGAAGCAAAGGAGATTATTTTTACAGCCCCATTCAGTGTGAAGTCCCAACGTTAGGAGTTTGCCATGGGCATTGACCAAGTCAAACATCATGCTATTCATGAAGAAAGTGTTGCGGAATTTAATCATTTACCAAGATTTTTTTTTTTGAGGAATTATGTGGATGCTGCAGCTTGTATTAGTCTGCAAAACAAATAAAGGTATGACTAGCACCAGTTACTCAGACAACTTGCTAGGGGATAACACATGTCCTCTTGAAATTGCTGAGGGTCTGGAGGCAACAGAGTGTAGATGCTGTGCTTGATAATATTAGAACTATGCTCTTTTTTATTTTTTTTTATTTTTTGGCCTGTCAGGGGATGAGACTGTGTAGAGCAAGAGGGTCTCCACTTCATGTGCAGCTATTTCTGCAGCCCATCGCAGGAGGGAAGAGTCTTGCCTTGAGAAATCGTTGATCTTTCAAGCCAGCCTCCTGCTCTGTTTTGGCAAGTGAGCAGGATCTGGCCGAGGTCCAGGCTGGCCCCTGCACAGGGCCACGGGAAGGCTCCTTGCCCACTTGGCCTTGCAGCCTGACCCCACAGGGCTGCTTCTGATTTAAAACACGTTTGCCATGTCTGTACCAGTTTCACTATGACAATACAACTGTGCATAATGTAGTGGTACATGAGCCAGGGACCTCCTACTCACTGAGCCTGAAGAAGGGGCCAGGTTCTGCTCCCAGGAATCTTTTTTTTAGTAGTTTTGCCAGCTGGTTGTCTAATTTACCTCCAGAAAACATCTGCTGATAAGAGTCCAGCTTCAAACCTGAAGGCTTGTGCAACGCTACTCCCCTTTGCTCCCAAGCATCCTCCTTGATGCAGTTTCCTGCCTTTTCCAGTGATGGGGCCAACTGAAGCTCCCCCATCTCTTCAAAACCCCATTTCAAAATATCCAAGAAGGTGCAGACAGACCTAAGGTATGTAATTTCATTATATTGCTCTTGTTACGCCAAACACAGACTAGGTTTTGTTTGCATAAGGGCGCTCATATGTTTAGGTACCGCTAGTACTTTGCTGGGTTATTAACTTGGACATCAAAACCCAATCAGCTTCCTCAAAATTGCTGCATGGTTTCATGCTTACCGTGCTACAGCCACAGTGCTTAACTGTTCACCGGCTCTGTGTATATTCACCAGCCTCAGCTTCTACAAATTTCTCTGAACCTTCAAAGCTTTTATGCAATGCTGCTCTATTATTCTGATCCTCCACCTCCCTTTCTGTTCTCTGTATAAAATGGAATTGTTGTAAAATAAAAGTCTGCATGTCCTGGGTTTGTATCCGATGAAAATGTAGCCAAAGGATTGAAAAATCGGCATTGAAAAACCATGCAAAATCTGATATGCAACATAGGATAAAGTGCAAGTTTCAAGTCTGGTACCATACCCAGCTCTCAACCTGGCCATAGCCCTCTGCTCTTTCTGGAATGGCTCTTGTCAAAGGGCTGTAACCACAGTGGGTTACAACCCTCAGAATCCATTTCCGATCCCCTGCAGAATAAGGTGGGCTGTGATCCAGTCCCTGTGCATCCCCTAGGGCCCATCTCACCTGCTGGTGCTCAGGCCCAACAGGCCATGGGAAGACGTGATTGAACAAAGCTGTGTTTTTTTGTAAAGAATGTCTGCGCATGCCCAAACCATAAGGAAGTTGGATGAGACTCCCACATATTAAGTACTAACATTTGACCCATCCTCCTGAGGTGAGAGAGCAGTTACATTCTGCACATTTGTTTTTATAGGCCAAAAGTGCCTTTTCTTTTATTACTTTCAGTGATTGAACTGTTTGTGCTTAAGCTTCCCAAAATGGCTTCCTTGGACAGAAACCAGACTGCAAAATGTCAGCATAAGTTGGGAGTGTAATGAAACTTCAAGTAACAGGAAAAGACCCTTCAGCTGTCACCAAATAAACTGGGTCTAATATGTGGCTTTCAGCGTGAGCAATTTTAAAGTGTTATGCATCGCTTGCAAAAGCACAGTCCCATAGACAGTCCCGCAGAGCAGGGCAAATCCAGGAGACTTCTGCCCAGTGCCTGTATATATTGCCAGTGTTTGCAATGCTATCCCAAATGTCACACTGCTTTGCTCAAAGTTCCAGCTCCTGGAGTCCTGTGATTAAAATGATTGCCTTTTGGTGGCAGGCAACATAAAATCTGAACACTTAAAGAAATGAAAAGAAGAACTACGAAAAGAACCAGCACCAATCATTTTTAAGACACTGTGGTCATATTCACAGACATGATTTTTGTCATCCCACTCGAGGTTTCTTAATGCTTGATGCTGACAGTGCTGTACCAAGAGGACCTTTGTTGCTGGCTACCTTGAGCTCTGTCCTTTAGGAAGGCAGCTACGTGAGAAAGGGGTGGCAAAGGGACATGCAAGTGCAGCATGCAGTGCTAGACCCGTGCTGTTAGTGAGCTGCTATGCTGCTAGCTAAAGATGAACCAAAAAGCAACTGTGACACAAAAGATGCATCCCAGTCTTTGAGGGTAAGAGGTAGCCGTAAGCGATGGAAGTGGCACGGCCTGTGGAAAGCTGCGTTGCCCCAAAGAGACGCATGATGATATGGAAATACCTTTCCACAGGTATTTGCATGTGGAAAGCTGCGTTGCCCCAAAGAGATGCATGATGATATGGAAATAACTTTCCACAGGTATTTGCAGGATGGTGGATGGTTTCCACAGCCATTCCAGGATAATCTGCTACCCGGGTTCTAACT